TTAAATTTGATTTTATTTATATTTACATTAATTACTAGTATAAAAGCTTTTATTTTTTAGTTTTATTTTTTTTATTTTTCCATTAATCACTTATACACACTTTAACCAACGAGCTGGAATGGTTAGAGTGTGTGGCTGTTAACCACACTTTAATCACTTATTTTTACTTTTTTGGTTTTCTTTTTTATTTTTTCACTAATCACTTATACACACTTAAATCAACGAGCTGGAATAGCTCAGTTGGTTAGAGCGTGTGGCTGTTAACCACAAGGTCGGAGGTTCAAGCCCTCCTTCTAGCGTTAAAAGTATTAGATTTGTTTTTATTTATATTTCCATTAATTACTTACACAATCTGTTTTTAATTTTGAAGTTTTAATTTTTATTTTTTCACTAATTACTTATACACACTTAAGAAAATAATTGAGAATTGTGTTGTTGGTTACAGCATATAACTAATAAACATAAGGTTTCAGTTTCAAGTCGTCATTCTAACGTAAAAAGTCTTATTTTTGTTTAGAAAACCATAACTTCACCTAGTTCTGGAGCACAAAGAATGTTTTTTTTATTTTACAAATCAAAACATTATCTGGTTCTCCATCGGTATCTTAGACTGAGTTATTGTAGATTTAGTTTTATTTCTATTTTTCCACTAATCACTTATACTTGATCTTGAGATTTTAAATTTTCATTGTCCTCAATGGTTCAAAACTTAAAATCTTTGGTATGTTAGATTAATAGTTGTAGAATTAGTTTTCTTTCTATTTTTCCACCAATCACTTATATTTGATCTTGAGCTTCTGAATATTTATTGTCCTCAGTAGTTCAAAACTTAAATTTATGATATGTTAGACCGATAGTTTATGTAGAATTAATTTCATTTCTTTTTTTTGCCAATCACTTATATTTGATCTTATGAATTTTTATTGTCCTCCTAGCACACAAGTTTTTTTTTTTAATTTCTAAAATCAAAACATCATCTAGTTCTCGTTTGGTATGTTAGACTAATATTTGATCAAGGATTAGTTTTTGTATTTTTCATAACTGCATATGTTTGATCTTAAACTTCTGAATTTTTATTGTCCTCAGTAGTTCAAAACTTAAATTTTTGGTATTTTAGACTGATAGTGGAATTAGTTTTCTCGCTATTTTTCCACTAATCACTTATATTTGATCTTGAGCTTCTAAATATTTATTGTCCCTAAGTGATTCAAAACTTAAATTTTTTGTACGTTATACTGATAGTGTCTGTAGAATTAGCGTCCATCTTTTTTTTTCACTAATCACTTAGATTTGATCTTGACCGTCTAAATTTTCATGGTTGATTTCATATAATTTTTCATAATTTCATATAGTTGAATTAGTTTTATTTCATTTTTTCCACCAATCATTTATATTTGATCTTGAGCTTCTGAATTTTTATTGTCCTCCTGGCACACAAGTTTTCTTTTAAATTTCTAAAATCGAATCATCAACTAGTTCTTGATTGGTATGTTAGACTGTTAGTTGAATTAGTTTTATTTCTATTTTTCCATCAATCACTTATATTTGATCTTGGGCTTCTGAATATTTATTGTCCTCACTAGTTCATTTTTGTTGTACATTAAACTGACAGGTATTGTAGAATTAGTTTTCACTCTATTTTTTCGCCAATCGTATTTGATCTTGATCTTCTGAATTTTTATTGTCCTCCTTCTGTCACAAGGATTTTTTTTAAGATCAAAACGTCACCTAGCTCTCAATTGGTATGTTAGACTGATAGTTGTTGTAGAATTATTTTTTTTTTAATTTCACCAATAGCTTATATTTGATCTTAAGCTTCTGAATTTTTATTGTCCTCGGTAGTTCAAAATTTAAAATTTTGAAATCATATAATAGGTTTTTTAAGAACTCAGCATATATCTTATTCTATATTAACTTCAGCTTTTTGTGCCCTGCTTTCCTTGTTTCATCATCATGGATGCCTGAACATCACGAACTTTAGCTATGCCAAATCAGAATGGTAAAGAAGACTAACACAGAATGCCAAATCTGAAAATGCTTTAGCAGCCATATAACATTTTCTTTAGAACAAACAGCTTGTAAGCTAACAGGTAATCGAACTGTTGAATGTGTCTGTGATTAGTAGGAACAGATAACGGTACTGGCAGATACTAGCATGGCAGCTCCTTGTGCTTGTCTAGGGACAATAATGTTATTTGCGCCTGCTGTAATGCTTCCTTGGAAGAAATGAATTCCCTTCTGCACAACACTATAACACCAAATTTGATTTGATTCAAACAACTCAAGAACGAGGCTGATAGCAATCTGATATCCACCTCTCTTTGCAAGAACTCCGGGGGTGGTCGAGGCTGCAGCTCTGTTTTACCACCATAATAGGTATGTCTGTTAAAGATCTCTCCTGATCAACTATACAGTTTGCTGGATGATTTGTGAATCTCAGTTATGCAAGGATGTGTTTCAGTCACCAATAGTACTGTCCATATAAGATTGAAATGCCACTAATTAAGAGCTGGAATATCTCAGTTAAAGTGCATGATTGTAAACCCTACGATCGGAGGTTTAAACCCTCTTTCTGGCATTTAATTTTTTTTAAATTTAAATTTTATTTTTGGAGTATGTGTTTTAACTCTATTGAATTATCTGTCTTAACAAACATTATTATTATAGATAAAATTTGATTTTTATTTAACTCTGTCATGATCTTTGAAACTCTTTCTACTTGAGTCAATTGAATTCTCTATTTTACCAAACATACATTACTTAACTTAGGGTTTTTATTTAATTTTATTTTTGATCTATGTGGCCTAAGTCTCACCAACAACAATTTCTTTTTTTAATTTTAATTTTGTTTTTGGAGTATGTGGCTTATCTGTCTTACCAAACATTGTTTTTATAGATAAGATATTGAATTTTATTTAACTCTGTCTTGATCTTTGAAATTTTTTCTCTTTCCATACATTGGTCTTGTAGATTGATGTTGTCGAATTATCGTTTATTTTTTATATTTTGATTTTATTTTTGAAGTCTGTGACTTGAGTCTATTTGAATTATCTGTCTTACCAAACTTGATTATGATAGATAAAATATTACTTTTTTATTTAACTCTAGACTGATCTTTTGAATTCTAATGTCTTCCCATACATCACTTGAATTAGGCTTCATGATGGATTACAGCTTAACATTTTAAAGATAAAACATCCTCTAATTATCATAGTTTCCTACTATGCACAGAAACCGTGATTTTTTCTTATTTCATTTTTCTGAACTTTTGTTGATCTTTTTAATTGTATTGTGTTACCAAATATTAATATGATAACTGAAAATTGTTGAATCAGCTTTGAGTATCTAAATAACCAATTTTAGAACCAACCATTGATGTAATGAATAGATAGTTTAGTCTTATGATTTCATTTGATAGGGCATATTTTGGTCCAAGATAACTCACCGTAAACATCACAAACCAAGTGATACGAATGTAACACTGTACGCCATCGGAACCATGAGGTGCATGCCACCGGAACCATGGGGTGCACGCCATGTCAAGTACCAACTATACAACTATGCGACCTAACCACCCCAAGAGCCTAGGGCGGTGTCGTCTGATGCCGTAGAAGCACCCCCCTAGAGATGCCATCTCGTCAGAGGGGATGTCCCACCTCGCAAGGGTCAACAGGCACACTAAACTAAGGCGCGATTGACCCTCGCACGCAGGGATAAATATCTCCGACCGACCCCAAGGAAGCGGGGAAGAAAAAGGGGGAAAAAAACCAATCTAACTTGCTCATCGGAGGGGCCAAAGTTGGGACACACCCGATGAAGGCCTTTTTGCAGGTAGATGGTCGTCATCAAGCCACAGACACCTTCACCTCGAAGTCGTCTCCCAATACGCAGAGGAGGGCGACCTAGTGGCTCGGATCCGATAGGTGCTAGTCTTGTCTCCCGTTCCAAAGAGGAGCCCACATAGTGAGGAAGGTCACCATCTATCCTAGGGACGAGCGGACACGTCTTCCCACAAACGAAGCTCGGGGTCGACGGACCTTGGAAAGACAACCCTCACATTCCCACCAGAAGTTCTCGACGTCAGCACGTGGGCCTAACCGTGCTGACTCAGTCACAGTACCTTTGTTAACCAACACCAACTAAGCACGGAAACTAGGTCAGTTACAACTATAATACTGGGGATTAGAGATCAATAAGTTGTCAATTGTTATGGTATAAATTACTGTATTATTTTTTAATGATAAACAATGAAGACAGGGCTTGATCCTACAACCTGGTAGTCACAAATTCATTACTGGATAAACAAGTTAGCAATTTCTATCGATTTAATTTTTCCTGCATTTACCAACTTCGATATCCAAGTCTTGCAATGTCTATCAATCGGTTCCATAAATCCATAGTTCAGTCAATGTCTATCAATCACTTTACCAGTGGATGAACAGGATAGATTCAAGTTTAAACAATCTCGCTCGAAATAGTCTTTTTTAAAAAAAAAAAATTAATTTAATCTTGCATTTCTCGAATTTTATTTTCAATATCATACATGGCATAATTGCAAATTGGGAAGGAGGACATGGTCGGATTAGAGTCTCTAATCATTGGCAATTGGCAGCATACACGACCGGAGAAAACTAAAGCGGATCGAGGTTGATTTATCTATCTCTTCCTTTTAATAAGGAAGTACTCAAGGCGATCGATCGATCGATCGATCGTTCCTTCCTTGCGTAGGCTGGCTGTCCTTAACATAAGTTACCTCGAGCTTTTTCTAAAAGATTTGATAGCAACTTGGGCTGTCTTTGATGGGTCAATGATTCCGGGGATAGACATTGGTTGAGTCGGAGCCGGATCTTAGAGATATGGTTAACAAGGGAGTTGGGAGAGAATGTTCATCCCCACACACACATAATGAGCCAATATTGAGTTTGATATCCTTCAGAGTTTGATATCCGCGAGAGAACAGACGTCTTTTGAGAGCCAAAGAACCAAACCGTAACGAGATAAGCACGCACCGGCACCTGAGGATGCGAGAGAGTGTGCTGGTTCGTTGCCTCCTGACGTGCCGCCAACCTGACGGTGGAAATCCCTGAGCGGCCTACGGGATGCGTGGCGCGCCTACCGTGCGGACGAAGTCGAGGTGGGGGCACCCGAGCGTGACCTGTGCGGTGGGAACCGGGAACGACAACAACCGAGGCGAAGCTAACAGAGATACAGATGGATGATGACAAGCTTCCCTCGTTGGGATCTCTCGGGCTGGGACCTCTCTCACGCCCACCACCGCACGTCCCAGATCTCCTTCCTCGTGTGGCCACTCCCACCAAAACATCCCCTCAAACCCTCACACTGCCCTCCTCAGCTCCCTCCTTTACCTCCTCCTTAAAGCACAACCACATTCAAGCAGAAGAATTGTTATAAAAGAGTGTGGCCAACGGCGACGCTTCCTTCTATGTTTCCAAATACAATGCAAACCAACAAGGTATAAAATAATCTCGCTCCTCTTCCTCCCGTCGATGAGCCCAACCCCCTCCAAGAAATCCGCCGACGCCGCCGCAGCCGCAGCCACAGCGACCCAAGCCCGGTCGTCCGCAACCGGCCTCGGCGGTGGAGGGGGCGGCGCGGGCATGCGGCTCATCGTACCTCTTCAGGGCGTCGTCCAGGGCCGCGGCGGCCTCGTCCTCGGCACCCTCATCCCCTGCGCCCTCTTCTACTTCCTCCAGTTCTACCTCAGGCGCAACCGCTCTCCTCCTCCTACTTCGCCGCAACCCCCCGCTGCCAACGGCCCCGATCTCCCCGGCATCGTCCGGTCCTCCTCCCGCAACTTCCTCTCCGCCCGCGGCTCCTCCGGCCACGCCGCCGTCTCCTCCCGCGCGGCCTCGATCGCCAGATCCGGCGATTCGCCTTACTTCGTCGGGACTAAGAAGTGCTCCGAGGACCCTTACCATCCCGTCGATAACCCCGACGGCGTCATACAGCTTGGGTTGGCCGAGAACCGCGTAGCTTTCTTTTACCCTAGAAAAACTGTCATCTTTCTTCTTCCTTTTGGGGTTTTATACCCGTGAGGAGTTTCTTATCGATTGTTGTTGGTTTGCTGCAGTTGTCTTTGGATCTAATTGGGGACTGGCTTGCGAGAAATGTGACGGATACCCTACTCGACGAGCGGCAGGGTGGGCTGAGCATCAGCGGATTGGCGACGTACCAGCCTTTTGATGGGTTGGTGGAATTGAAGATGGTGAGCAATCGACCTCCTTTCACCGCACAACTAGTTTAGTTGTTTCTTTTCCTATGAATAGCAATTAGTTTTCCTGTTGTTTCTCCTCCTGCTTCACGCTCGAACTTTCTGTAGTAAAACCAGAATTTTCTTTTCTTTATTGCTTCACAACTTCTGCGGTCCCATCAGTAGTCATGTTAGTCTGATTTAAATCACTTTGCTCTGCTGGTCAATATGAAAGTTCAGATCTTTTCATAGATTTTTAGATTATTACAGGTTGATGTTCAAGTAATGCTTAACTTATGTTCTAAGATTTCTTTTTTTTTTTTTTTTAGTCAGAATGAAAACTTTTAGTTTTCCTGCAAGTTCACCTTCCTTTTAAGCTGCAAGTTCCGTGGATATTTTTTTATGCATGAACACATAAGACGTCTCCAAATTTTAATCAACTCAGTGAGGGGGACAAAAGAGTTTGCCATTCATCTTTGCCAATTTTCAAACTTTTGCTAAAGTTAAGTGGTTTCATCCAAGGAGGAGTCATCTTTTTCTATTAGAGGAATTCACCTGAAAGTTCCTTCTTGCCATCTTGCAAAACATTTGGTGGAAATAAGTTAAATCTTACGGAGAGAGGAAGAAAAAGACATTATTTTCTTTTGTAAAACATAAGAAAAAAGAGCCTGTGCCCTAAAGTTCTTTCCTTGTAAGGAAGAATGGGTTGGGGGAATAAAGAGAAATACATGGAAAGAGAAGTCACTTCTCCAAGCAATATTAATACCAAGTGGAAATCAACTCTGTTTTCACAAAAGGTTTTCATATCTTCGGCGTGAAGGAGGGTGTCTTTGGAAACACTTCTGGGAAATGAGTTGATATTTATGAAACTACCTATATTGTGTAATCAAAGTCGGAAAGTCGAACTCAGAAGTAAAGCCTTTATTCACTTTTGAGACTCAACTATGCATACCGAATACCAAAACAACAAATTCTACAAATTTCTTTATGGATGTCTTTTTTTCCGTAAGTATTAAAACCATGAGCAGTCGATAGGGTGCATGATTCTTAAAGAATTTAGCTTTCTGGATTACCGGAGTTGGTGCTTTACTAGGTTATCATGTGTCGGTTTCTACTGAAGAAGTTACATAAAGGTCATAAATGTAGCTTGGCTGGTCAATAAGGTATCTGCAATTATTACGAGATTTTTTTGTAGGTTTTGCAAATATCTGGCAAAGGTTTTTTCATAATATTACCAGCTGCAGCTATCATATTTGGTTTGTCGATGATGCCTCAATGTTGTGATGATTATCCCATATTGCTTTTACTATCTTCTTTTGTTGTTTCAGGATGCATAACTAAGTTTAAGAAACATTTTATTTCACCCTAAAAGATGTGGTTATGATATGCATCGATTAACAGACAGTCAGGCTGATGGTTGTCTTCTGAAGCATGTATTCAATTATATCATTGTAATTAGCGTTCCAGTACACACTGGTGGTGGATTCTTTGCTCATCCATTCCCCTTCTGGACATGCTGTGTGTTCTTCTCTTTAGCCATGTTTTATATGATTGGGCTATTTTAATTGCCGGGATATCTAATGAAGCAATAATAACTGAGAGAAAGAAAAATATCTTGGAAATGTTACGTGTAAGCATTCATTTCGAAAAGGCAGGTGATCTTGGCGTACTGCTTATGTTTGTTGAATATGATTATTTAGACTTCTCTCTGTTTTATCGTCTTACTAGACCTAATTGTATGTTCTTTATAGGATTGATCTTGGAAAGATTTTGTAATATCATACTCATGTTTACTTTTGATAGGCTGTGGCTGAATTTATGGGACAAGTCATGCAAGGGTCAGTCTCGTTTGATCCATCGCAAATAATAATGACAGCTGGTGCAACTCCAGCAATTGAAATTCTCAGTTTCTGCCTGGCAGATGCTGGAAATGCATTTCTTGTTCCTTCACCGTATTACCCAGGGTGACTTGCTTGTTCCACCAAAAACTTGTCTCCATGTTTCATACTGAGACATTTTTACAATTTTAGTATTTTGACGTACAGGTACGACAGGAATATAAGATGGCGAGCTGGCATAGAGTTGATACCTGTTCCATGTCGAAGCACTGACAACTTTGGTTTAAGTATTCCTGCACTCGAAAGAGCATACAATCAGGCAAAAATGCGAGGTGTCAAAGTGCGAGCTGTTCTTTTCTCAAACCCCTCCAACCCTGTGGGCAATCTTCTGCACAGGGAAACATTACGAGACCTTCTTGACTTTGTTACGGAGAAGGGCATTCATGTCATTGCTGATGAAGTGTTCGCAGGGTCAACCCATGGTACTGAGGATTTTGTGAGCATGGCGGAAGTTTTAAACACAGATGAGTTTGATAGAAGCAGGGTTCACATAGTATATGGCTTGTCAAAAGATCTCTCCGTCCCAGGCTTTCGGATCGGTCTCATCTACTCTTTTAACGAACATGTCATTGCGGCTGCCTCGAAGCTGGCAAGGTTTTCCTCCGTTTCTGTTCCAACCCAGCACTTGCTCATCTCGATGCTTAATGACACTAAGTTCATCACACAATATATCAAGACGAACAGAGAGAGACTCCGAGTAATGTATGCATTGTTAGTGAATGGCCTTAAACAGTTAGGTGTTGAGAGTGTCAAAAGCAGTGGTGGTTTTTACTGTTGGACGGATATGAGCAAATTTATGAAATCATACAGTGAGAAAGGGGAGCTTGAGCTATGGAAGGAGATGCTTAATGTAGCTAAGATTCATTTGACACCTGGAACGGCATGCCATTGCATTGAACCTGGATGGTTTCGTTTATGCTTCACAACATTGACTGAGAAGGATGTGCCTGTAGTTTTGGAACGCATCAAGAGAGTTGTTGATAACCATTGAGTCTACTAAAGCAGAAAGGTAGAGGTCTTTGGTACAAATATGTTCATAAGGCTGGAAAGTCGATCACATCGAGTCTCTTTCAGTAGTCTCGTATCCTCTCCAGGGTTGTCATCAATTTTGGTAGTGTAGGCTTCGCTTCATGCTTCTCTTCTCCTTGCTGATGTAACTACATCAAGGTGCACCACTACTCGTGCAGAGACCTCCGCTTGGTGAAGAGATTTCTTTTCACTTACCAGTTGCTAATATATGCTCTCATCTTGTTACCATTTGCAATGAACGGAAAGCATGTAAGCACCCTCTTCTTTAGGTAATCCTGTGATGGACAAATTGGTTTAGAATGTGAGTATAATTTCCATATCTTTCATTACTTGTCTATTAAGTCAGTAATGTGGAAGTAAAGAAGAGGTTTTTAATCCGATGCTTGTAATGGTAGACAGGTTTATTAGCCTACACGCAATGGATCATTTTTGGCAAGTTAATGCACCCATTGTACTCTCCAAGGATGATGGATGGATATACTACAAGCAATCATTTACCTTTGGGTGCTCTCTCTTCCTGCCTTCGTTTTGCTTCCTTCTGCAGCTTAGCTTGCGACTCAGCAGTATGAGCTCCCCGAGTGTCAGCCCCCTCCTTGCCATGCCTGCGTGTTCGCTGCTGCAATGGTTTGGGCCACGGAGAGCAGCCACAGCAGATGGAGCTTCGTCTTCCCCGCTGGGCTGCGGGAAAAGGAACTGAATCACCGAAGTGTCTGTGCCCACCTCCGCTGCCTCTGAGCTGCTCGAGCTGCTGTGCCCATCCGTTCCCGATACAGAGTGCCAGTCCTCGTTCCGGTAGGAGCCGTTCTCGCTAAAGCTCTCCCACGCAGCAGTCACATCAGCGAAAGACGGGTCTGCATTGTCGTCCATCTTGAAAGAAAAGGCTTCGAGGTAAGAATCCATGGCGCCTCCCTCCGTTTCATCGACGAAGGGATTCAAGGGACCAGACTTCTCATCGACAAAAGGGTTCAGGTGACAGCTCGACGCAGGACGAGGATCCAACCCATTCAGATCGCCGGCAGTCAACAAGTCCGGCAGGGTGGGAGGAATCTGGATTGGCTTCCCGGGCTTCTCTTCCCATTCGAAGGGGACGGAAACCACGAGTCTCGGCGGCGGCGAAGACGAGATCACGGGGACTCTCTTCGGTACGCCGGGTTTCTCTTCCCAAAGATACGGGACGGTGATCTGCTGCTTCTCTCGCTGCCGAGGACGCGACGCAGAGGACTCCTCACTCTCCTCCGCCATGGTCGGTAGGTTCGAAAACTCGTTGCATGCTCGTCCACGCCGTGGACACGAGTAGATATAGGAAAAGCTTTGTTGGATTCGACGAAGCTGTTCCACGATCGAAATGTTCTCGCTCAACTGTACCAATTGGCGTGGCCATAGCCATCGCAGACCCAACCCACTTTCCCACCTGCTTGAAATTAACAGTTACGACACTAAAAAAAGGGCAAGATTTCAAGTAGGATTAGTTATATATCGATCGATGTTGGATCATATAAATTCATATTCATTAATTTCTTAAATGATTTCCGATGGTATACATCGATATATCATTGTGTATAAACATTATATTATCGGTGCCGATTATTATTATTATTATTTGATTGAAGTTAAAATCCTTCTATTTTTACTCTTTAAACTTCCAGCTATCATAACTACTCCACGTTAAAATAGGTATGTGATGGTTGATGTTCTCTTGGAAAACACCTTTGCTTTGGCGTGCATTGGGAGAGATCATAATATTCTAGAAATATAATAATTCTTTGAGTTTTAATTATTTTTTTAGATTCTGCTTAATTTTAAAGGGATAAAATACGAAAAATATCTATTTATATATGTAATCTTTAATTATTTTTCCCCCGAAAAACATTATAAATATGCATTTCCTCGCCAACTCAGATCGGAGTCGAACTACTCGCTACGAGGATCGGGTTTGATTGAAGGAATCGTGAGCCTGTTGCCGGTTCGGGCTGGGATTGTGCCGGTTCGATAAGACGGTCGCGTGTGATGACAATTTGGGTTTCAGACACGAGGAATCAGCGGTCCTCTCTCTCTCTCTCTCTCTCTCTGCCAGCCATACTTCTCGGGAAGTGGCGCCAGCGATGGCCGTGGAGTCCCACGGCGAAGCCGCCGCTAAGGCGGATGCGTCGGCGGCGTCGAGCCCGTCGGTCCCCAAACCGGTTGTGACCCCAGAGGACGAGATCCGTGCGGTGGCTCGCAAGTTCTCCGATCAGCCCGTCCAAAACCCCGATCCCGGTGTCTGGGCCGTCCTCACTGCCATCTCCAAGAACGCCCGCCAGCGACCGCAGGTGCGGTGCCCTTATTTTCTCTCTTTCATCGCCGCCCTTTTCTTCCCCTATCTGAGAACAACGATTCAAGAATCTCAACCCTAAACCCAAAACCCTAGTTTTTTGTTGGCCAACATTGGCATTGCGTCGAAATAGCTCGGAGGATGCTGCCTGTTCTCGTTTATGCTGGTTAGAACTCTTGTTGTGTTGGTCAAGATTCTTTCATGAGGTGGAATAGCTGGCCGATGCTGTTGACTTAAAGTCATTGTCTTTTGTTTCAAACCGTAAAGGGTTTGACTTTATTAAGTCGATTACTGATCTTTCTAATAATATTTCAACTGAAATAACTAATATACTTTATCCCATTAGCACTGTGTTACAGAGGGTTTCATCATCTTACATTTCGAGCGCTGTATAATAAATAACTGGAGTTAATTGTTTGGGTAATAATTCTCACTCTGCTATGAAAAAGGTTTATCTTTTGTTTGCCAGGATATACATTTAGCCCAAATCCTAACTCATGTATTAGTACATAATATTTGGTTCGCGAAAGGCTAAGAAGTCAAGAAATGCAGTTAGTTTTCTTTTGTTTTTGTTGATTTTTTTTTTCATGACTATTGTTTAATTAGTGATGGTTTAATGTTATCATCGAAGGGAATGAATATTCTTTTGAGTGGGGATGAGCACTGCTTGGGCCGATGCGTAGAGGACACACGCTTCCAAATCAGTGTGATTGCCATCAGTGCAAATCATTGCAAAATATTTAGGGACAGAGTAGCAGCTGCAGATGCCAAGCTTGATCCTACTTCCTTGGTTCCAGTTTTCTTGAAGGACACCAGGTTGTAAACATGTTAAACAAGGGATATTCCCAGTTCCAATTTAACATATAGCTATATGGATGATTCTTTGTGCAGTCTTTAATTGCTTCTGGCTTTGCAGTACGAATGGGACATTTCTCAACTGGACAAAGCTAAGAAAACAGTCTCCTCAAGCTAGACTTCAGCACGGGGATATAATATCATTCATTGCTCCTCCTCAAAATGGTAACATATTATGATGTTATACAAAGAAGTTGCATTTTCAGCCATTGTCACAGCATGAATATTACACTTTTTCAAGTTGTGGTTACTCTTAAGTTGAGGTCTTCTACATTTTATAAAAACTTGTATGATACCATTTATTTGCTTACTTGTTTGCCTGCATTTATCTCAAATGTATCTTTAATTATTTATTGATGAACTGGGATGGTCCCATACTATGTATTCTTTTATGTTGCAATGCAGCTCATTTTTCAGTTAAACTGTTATTATCAGACAAGTGGAAATATCCAATGACTTGGGAGAGATATTCCCAGGAGTGTAGGCTAGCAGATATAATGGAAGGTTCTTGATGCAAAACTAAGTAGGATGGTTCAAGATGAAGTTTTTAAAAGATTTGAGTAGAAGATTTCATAACTATAAGGGACAATAAAAATGGGAAGTTGCTTGTTCTTGTTGTGGCAATTAACAATATAAATGTAGCTACAGAAGTAGCTGCTACTTTACATATCATTGATCCATATCTTAGGCAAATTCTTTTCTTTGTGCTTTAGATAAACCAATTTCTGCATGTATAAACAGCAAAGATATTAAGATCTCAGTTTAATGTAAATTGTGCCTGTTAACATTTTAAAATATATCTTTAGTACTTAGGTTTATTGGGGCTATATCCACATATACAGTTCTCAGCTGGTTACTGTAATATCTTTTTTAATATCTTGCAATTGAATTCACAGTTTGGTGGAAATATTTTACTACAGTTATGTGTTTATCTACAACAATTGCATTTGAATAGCATTGATATTGCTCTATCATCTATAATTATTATTGCATGCCATTCTTTTGTTTTGTGTGCTTTTATTTTTTCTTAGTTATTTTCCCTTTGCTTGCTTTATAGGTTCTGTACTATCAGGGATCATTTTGTGGTTGCCCTTTCATTGTGGTTTAATTTGTGTACATGCCTTTTCAGATAATTCCTATGCATTTGTATACAGAGAAGTGCATAGATCTTCATCTTTAGCAAATGGTTCGGCATTGAAAAGAAAATCAGGTAAGTAGAAGTGATTGATTGTGGAATTTAACATACTACCTAGATGGATTGATATTTCTTGCTACCATTTTCATTCATGGATAAAGATTATTCGGTTGCAATTAAGAGTTCTTATTACCTGTGGAGCACTGAACTCTGTCGTGCTGCATTGTTTTTAATCTATGGAAAGCGGCATTTTGACCTCAGACCTTGGATAAGAATTCTAGAACGAAGTTTTTCCAGATCAGATCATCCTGATATCACCTGCTATTGGGATTAGGATTGGCTCCTAAACTTGATTTATCAGGCTCCTCACAAGATCATTGGTGAATTGCTGGGAACAGATTGGAGTTAGAATCGGCTGATCCAACAGTATTATGCTATCTCAGAGTTGGTCCTGACTAAGGTTGTGAGGGTTCCTTTTCCTCTCAAAGGAACTTAAGAATGTGGGAACAAGGTAACACACGGTATAGAGAATTCTATAGGTGTCAACGACAAGGTAGAATTAAATATCAACTTTTATGAGCAGTGATGGACACCTCCCATTAGTAGGCTAATTTCTCCGTAGTTTCTTGATATTTGATGTCACCTCATGACGTGGCAATAATTACCATGGAGCATATTAATGAAAAGTGACTCCTGTCAATCTTACTAAGTTTTTCATTTCTGTCCAACTCGCTGTGTTATCCCCATTATTGCCATCTTTATTCTCCTCACGTCACCTCCTTATGCCTACTTGTATTCCCCATGATGATAGTGTCCTAGCCCCCACGTGGCCCTGCAGAGTTAGTTTTGCTTTCAGGAAATTTTTCTGGTTTTGATCAGTTGAATAGCAGATTTCTTTTTGTCATATACATAAAAATGTAGGTGTTGACCATATTTTAATTTGGACATTCTGTATGGAATTTGATTTTCAAATACTGGTACCTTTCAGTCACTGCGCTGTGTCAACAGTAGTACCAGTGATGTATCGTTAGTTTGGGTGGGCTTGAAAGCAAGGATCGCCATGCCTATCAGAGGACGTGCTATTCCAGAAAGGTGCCTGTCCAAGTGGCCTCTCCATGTCAAAAATAAAACTTAGGCATACTATTAGTTTAGATTTGGAAGCAAGGACTGTTGTACCAGTTGACATGCCTCAACATGATCTTAAGTGCACTGTGCTAGGAAACTACCAGACACATGTAAGGCCAATTCTTATCCGGCACAGGGACCCTTGACTGGAATTCATGCTGTGCCAGAAATGTGCCAGAAATGTATCTGCAGATCCCTGTGCCATGAAATGGTAATCCTTGCTCGAAAGTTTTATAACACTGTTGAAAATGGATACCATAGCTTAGCCATCATGTCTCCAGATTGTGATAGTGAGCCATCTTAATGTGAAATCGGTGCAACTTAGGTCCCCTACAGGGTTCAGACCTTTATGTTAGTCCTTTTGGTTTTATTTTCAACATTTCATACTTTTGAGGCTTCCTCCTTTGGAGCCATCTTTCTTGTGATTATCACTTTCTTCTTATAAAGCTTAGTTTATGGTCACTGAATGATGCTTGTACGTATGATGCATGCATGTAATACTAAAGAGGAGTATGATACTGATAGCAAGAGGCTTAAAGGTATTGGCATTGGTGCTCCTGATGGTCCTATTTCACTTGATGATGTCCGCAGCCTTCAGAGATCCAACACGGTAGCATTTATTATCTATTCAGAAATTCATGATTTTGGTTTTCTAATGAGCATTGATGAACAATTTAAACACACAGGAGCTTAGGCAGCATTTGGAGTCACATGTTCTCACTATTGAAACGTTGCGTGGCGAAAGCCGGTCACTGATGGCTCGTCATGAAAATGTATGGGCTTGTAGTATTTCTAGCTTTAGATCCATCATTTTGTTTGTGTAAACAAATTTGTATTCAACACTGAATAGTTTGGTGAAAATTATGTTATTTTCCTTTCATCTAAATTTTGGTTGTTACTACTTTGACATTGAAGATTATTTTCGCTGTATCTTTTAAGAAGAAAATTTTATTTTCACTGTATTAGCTGATAAAATATTTTTAATGTCCTGACTGTTTCAGTATCCATTTTCATTATGAAAAGATGGATGTTAAATTTTTTAAATGATGCATGTGATCTTAAAGCATTTACTTTTCCTGGTGTTTATAGTCTTTCCCAATGAACATGAAGCATGGTTTCTGAGTTGTAAAATGAATTTTTTTTAGAACTCACCAATTAAGTGGATGTTTTCAAATTTCTGTTTTGTAGCATGTCTAATGTTATCTATGGATGAGTTAACTTGGGCAAAGGAATTAATTGGTGGTACAATCAACTTTCCTGTGATACAGGATGTAGCAATAAATTTTCAGTTGTATATTCCTGGTTTGCAGTTCCTGTTGGTTGCTAATGTGTAGTACACACGGTTTTACAAACTTTACAGGGTAAGCTGATGCCACAATCCTCTTGACTCGAGCCATGATTCACATATTCAATTTTCATCTTAAGTCTCAAAGTTCAACAATTGATACAATGATATCATGAGTAAAAAATGAGGTTAAAAACATGAAGTTGTGTTTCATGGATTGGCTTATGATAGGCTTGCTAGCTATATAATGGAACCATACACTCTTTGATGGTCCAATGTGGTTGCTCAGTTTGCTGTATACTTTAACGTACCTTTTAACATGACAAGAGATAAATGTTGAGAATAATGATGAGTATCGTGGACCATGACTATTTTGCATCTGCACACCGGTGAGGTCTTTGCTGTTGCTGTTATTTATTGTAGACTGCTGTAGATAAAGACGAAATTTCACCTCTTAAAGTCAATTGTCAAAAACTTTGTTTACTGTAGTGGAGCAGAACAAATTAAGTCTTCTTTTAATGTTTGTATGACTGATTGCTTTTTTTTTAAAAGGCTCAACGCTTAGAAAATTTCAATATCTCATGTTTGACCTCTATAGTTTCTGAAGTTTTTCTTTGTCAAAGTTTTCTAATTTTATGTTGTCCACAATGGACAAGGGTGACTGTGCTGACAGTAATGACTTAGATATTGTTATGATCAAAATCATATACTAAGCTTTACATCGTCTATCCTTCTTATTGAAATTGAACTTGTAGGAGCTCAAAGAGCTGAAGGAAATGGTGTCAAATTCTTTCCTTGACCAAATTAAGGAGCTACAGAGTGCGTTAGATGAGAAGCAGAAAGAAATAGGTTCTCTTAATGCATTATCTGCTGAATTACGAAGCTCAGTGAAGGATCTTAACGAAAGACTTAGTGCATCTATGCAATCACGTGTTGATGCTGATGAGATTATTCAGAGGTAAAATCAGAAGAGCATGTTAATTTCCCTTATCCTTTCCATGCTAGATTCAAGGAGAATCCAATTGTTCCCTTGCATGAAAATGTTGATTATTGTTTGTTTCTTTAAATCACAGTTTTGTGAATGTCTTGCCTTTGCCCAATTTCTTTTTGTTTCTTCTACCTATGTGACTATTTCTTTTTCTACCTATTCATGATATGTATATACTGGATCCAACCATTTAAACCTGGACGGACAATGAGTATATTGAAGTTTAGACTTTAGTGATATTTGCATGTCTAATTAATACATTTTCACTAAATTGATCATGGTTCACATGAGCAGGATAAGTTTGTGATTGACCATAGGGTTCTGGATTAGATCAGTGTTTCAGATTAAAAATAATTTACAAATTAACACAAAAATAATAAAATAAAATTAAGATAGAGAAAATTATGAGCCATTTTATAACTTTATGTTCCAGAGTCAACCTTATGTCTATGTGAGAAGGATTGGATGGGGATAAGGCACAACAATGATAAAAGTTGACATTCTTTTATTAGTGCCCTTTTACTTTTTTTTTGTGAAAAGCATGATACTGAATTACTCATATAATATAATGTCGTTTAGTCTTTTTCCTTGTCATGAAAAATGCTGCATGGTTTTAGAAATTTCCATGATCCTTTCGGCTTTCAGTACTTAGTTAAGCTTCTATTATCTGTCTCTTCTTTATTAAGACATGGCAAATCTGAGTCCAAACTGCTTTTGTAGTCAGAAAGCAACTATATCTGAAATTGAGGCTCGTTTAGATGAAGAAAGAAATCAGAGAAGGGGGGAGCGACAAAAGGCGGCGGCAGATCTGAACTCTGCACTGAAGAGAGCTCAACTCGAGGCCCAAGAGGAAATTAAGCGGCAGTCGGAGATTCATTTAAGACAACATAAAGAACAGCAAGAAGTTATCAATAAGCTGGAGGTCAGTGAAGTGTTCCTTTCTGTTATTTCCTGTGGGTTATATGCTTTGGCTTTCGAGAACCAAATTGACATTCTGTTAACAGTGGAACTTGCAATTTTTTCTTATGCCAGGAGTCTGAGAAAGAAAGTCGGTTGCTTGTAGAAACATTAAGATCAAAGCTGGTGATTCCTTGCATTTCATAGCATTTTTCTTTGATTATTGTGATGTATTTTCTTTGAGTTAAGACTTTTTTCCTTCCAATGTATTGAGCAATAACTATGTGCTTCTTTTTGACAGGAAGATGCTAGGGAGAGCCTAGTTACGTCTGAAAAGAAAGTTAGACAACTAGAAATTCAGGTGAAGGATGAACAAGTCGCATTAATAAATAGCCGGAAGGTATGCTCAACTTGATAAGTGACGTTGTCCTAGGTCATCTTTTATAGTTCCCCGCTCTCAATCTATTTGTTTTCATTGTTCAAGAAAGTTATAACACAAAGTGAGAGTTGTTTTTACCCTTGTGTAGTCGGTGTTTATCAGTGACTTTTCACTATATACCAGTTTGCTCAGGTTGAAGTCAGGGTGGGCATGTATCCTCACTGCCAACCTTAAGACAGTCTGAGCTTGATTTTTCTTTATTGTGAATCATCATCTTAAGAGCTCTTATGTTCATCTCTGTCATTATTTTACAGAAATCAGAAGCGCTGGAGTCTGAGTTGGAGAAACTGAGAAAGGAACTAGAAAGTGAAAAGGTAGGGGTAATGTCTCTTTGTTCAGTGATTATCATTTGCACTGCACATGCTTTGTGGTTCATGAATTGTGCAACTATTATCTTTTAGACTGGAGAAAATTATCCACTTGCATATCTTTGCTGCCAAGCTTCATATTGTGAAAAATGTGCAGTTGCAAATTCCACACATTTAATGTCTAGAGTCTCTTAATAGTTATATCTGACCATGTATTGATTTTCCAAGAGTGCTTCTTTTCCTGGTTTCACCTGTTTCAGTCATGATGCCCTTTTTGGACTGAAAGCAATGTGCAAAATAAGTGCTGCTTTGAAAGATAAGTCGTAGATAAGTATGAATTCCATCAGTGTGTCCCTTCCCTGTTTTATAGATAAAGGGATTCTTCCCACATAGGCCTTCTACAGCCATTAGCATATTACACATCTATTTACTTAGCTATCTGCACTCAGTCCTCAACACTGCTGCTTCCTTGAAATTATATCCTCATTTTGGCCATGCATCTGCTTTGTGTTTTTTATGATCAACCCTCCTATTAATCACATCAAAGACCTTAGTATTTACTTAGTCCTTGTAGTTTGTATACATCATGGGTTTATTAAGCAGTACTTGTCATAGCAGAAACAATACAAATGTCCAATAGCCTTTGTTCTTCATGGCATGTTTTAATTGGTCATTTAAACACATTTTAAGTACTTATGTCATTGTTTATCATTGTTTGCCGAATATGTCATTTTTACTTTCGGATACTTATTTCTATGCAGTCTGATTAACCTTTGAACCTTAAGGCGCTAATTTCCATATTATTTTGGTTTATCTTTTGTTTCAAATAGGTGAAACCTTGGAAGGTTTCGGTGTCTTCTCTAAGATGATCTGATTTAAATTCTTCACCAAATTTATTGATGTGAAAAATCTACATGATATCATACTAAGTTGCTACAATCTTTCCTTCATACGACACATGGTCTCCCCACATAACGAACATATTTTGCTAACAATGTTCACTTTTCTACTCATGGTTTTAATATATGACTTTAAATCCAAATGTTCTCTGAAGCTTGGTATCCCATTTACGTGTCATTTTCTTTCTCTGGCAGTTGTATTCTTGTGTATGTCGATGTGATTTTTGCCTCGGGCACTTAGTTGGGTAATTATGCAACTTAAAAACTCTGGCATGCAGATTCAAGTTTAATCTGAGAAATCAGTGTGCTGTTGTTAGCAGGTGGCCAGGGAAGAAGCATGGGCTAAAGTTTCAGCTCTTGAACTTGAGATAGCTGCTGCAATTCGTGATCTTTCAATTGAAAAGCAGAGGTTCCAAGGAGCCAGGGAAAGAATAATTCTGCGGTAAGCTTAAGAGTACATTTGTATTAAATAGGCATCAGCATACCTATTTAGGAACTGAAACTTCTGCAAAAAGGCATTAGAAGTTGACTAACAATCCTTAAGTTATGGGTTGTTCATGATGTACTTTAGGTGAAGGTGCCTGTTAGATGCTTGATTAGGTTTTTGTGTTTTTGCATCCTTTAAGGCAAACAATGAACATGTTGAGATACATATGAATTTTATTACCACTTGTTGCATCTTTACTTTGTCATGTCTTCTTTAGTATTGGTTGGTTTGCTTGCCGTTTGGTCACTTGGACAACTCTTTTGAATCAGTAATCGTCAAAATAGATACACACAATTTGGCTTGAATAATAATCCCTGATTTTCACACAATGCATGCTTTTTCTATCGTTTCTAGGTCATCATTTATGTTGATGAGGTTGAGGGGTGTGGATTAAGATTGTTAGGCCATTAATAGTTTACTTTAATGGGCATCCTGAGCTGCTGTTATTTTGTACCACTTCCCTCCTGCCTGCATTTCTTTTTTTGTAAAGTACCATGGAAGAAACTTTAGAGAGGTGTTTATTCGGGCTATGATAGTCATTGTTCCCACATTACCGTGGTACTTTAAAAAATAGTTATGAGCTTGCTTTTGACTGATTGACTGGTTGAAACAAGTTTTATAGGAAATGAGACATTTTGTAGCACTAATATCTCAGGTGATGTATTACAATTGCTAGATTCTTCTTTGCGTGAATGTTTTTCTGCTTATGATATTTGCATTTCTCTCAAGATATATTACATCCCTGAATTACCTTCTGATTGCTCAATACAGGGAGACCCAGCTGCGAGCATTCTACTCCACAACCGAAGAAATCTCTTCATTGTTTGCAAAACAGCAGGAACAACTCAAGGCAATGCAGAGAACTCTGGAGGATGAGGAACACTATGAGAATGCATCAATTGACATGTATCTAAAAGAAGTATCAACTGGAAATAACAATGCTGGTGGAAGATATGAGTGTAACGATTCAAGAGCTTCTGGTGCTTTTACTCCAAAGAATTCCCAAGCAATGAGTGGCAGCTCTGCTGATGAAGAAGTCAGCGCCACGGAGAAGCATGAGTGCAGCCTCGGAAGCCAAGGTGGCAACACCCAAGACTTGGAATGCAATAGTGCTGATAGGTCGGTTAAGGGGTTTGGATCAGATATTGATGGTGTTGGCACAGCTGTGGATCCTGAGGGTGATCCTACTGACACCGAACAAGTTCTGGGAACAGAGAGCCAAGCTGGCGATCCTGCTTTGCATAAATGCAGCAACCTGGGAGGAGAGACCATGCAGATTGATGATGATCCCCAAGTCCAAGAAAAGGTGGAACCTAATGGCAACCACACTGGTAGACCTGATGGTTGCTCACAGCAAGGACTACAGGATACTGAAACTGGGACAATAAGAACTGCTGATCTTTTAGCATCAGAAGCTGCTGGGAGCTGGGCTGTCAGCACCGCCCCTTCGGTCAACGGAGAGAATGAATCTCCGAGGAGCATGGGGAATGCTGATGCTGTTGGTGAGGACATAGCTGCTGTCGCCACTTTGCCGCTCTGCTCTGATGGCTTTGCCGTGGGAAGTCAAAGTAATGTTGGTCCAGGCATAACTAAACTGAGCAAAGAAAACGAGGCACCTAATGCCATGATCCATAAAGCTCCACTTACCCGACTCGACGTTAGGCGGCTGTTTGAATGTCGTCCAGACCTGTCTGATGCAGAAACTGAGGGTAGCAACAACAGTGATGCCGATCATGACAATGGCCATAGCATCCATGACGTGGATAGCGATACTGATGGGACCGGAGATGATGAGAGGATTGATGACTCGGTTGGTTGATCATGTAGATACCACAGGAAGGGCAGTGCTCTCTGCTGGTCCTCCACTATAGATGTGTATACAAGTAGAATGTTAGTTAGGAGGACTCTTAGTTTTCCCTAATGGTATGTATGATTTCAGCCGGTGCTTAATGTACAGTGTTTGCTTCCTGTAAATCATAGTGTTTAACCCTGACTTGGAAGTACTTGAATATTTTTCCCTGTGATTCTATAGAGAAATATAATATTTTTGAGACATTGCATGTCCTCTCTATACCACAAGTATTCTGATTGAAGGTAGAGGATTTCTACCTCAACTTAAAGAGCAGGCAGCAATGGAAAATGCCCACTAGTTGCAACAGTGATATCAAAAGTTGTAAGTTTGCTAACTGCAGGTTCAATTATTAGAATGCCTGCATGTATTAATGATACTTGTAGTTGCAACAAAGACAAAGGAGTTGATGGCTGGAGCAACAAAAAAAAATTCGACAAAGGTTTCCTAACACGATGAAGTCTTATCCTTTGCACGATTAGGAGATTAGGAATTGTTAGTTTGTCGAGTGGAAGTGAGATATTACAGGTCATAGAGCGGTGAATAAAATATTAATTTTGACATGTGCTAATTACATATCATCCTTCTCTTTAGTATTTCAGTCTTTTAATTTTAAAAATTTATATTAAAATTTTTATAATTATAAAAATAAAATATTTAACTTTATTTACCCTAATATCATCAATCTTACTAATAAAACTGATAACACATGCAGAAATGAGATGAAAATGATGAGCAAAAAGATAATTTTAATATTTCAATTATGTTTTTTATGGTAGCAGATGACGACGCCACGGGTTGTTGCTGTGGTTATGGTCGACGAGAATGTTAAGAATTTTTACGACTTTATTACGAAGGAAGGAGGATGATGAGGAGGGAGAGTGGTATTGAGAGGTGAGATAAAGAGAGAGGATAAAGAGGACAATGCATATGCAACACATTGCATCTGCATCAACATCGCTTGACATCGCTTGGCAATTGCATCAACCCCGATGCATATGCAAAGTAGCAAAAGGGCTACTCAGTATTTACATTGACACCGACACAGATGTAGATATAGAGTGTCGCTCAACATCTATACGGTGTTGACGTAAATGTAGATGTAGAGTGTCGTTTGACATCTCCATCTGTGCCAACACAGATACAAAGAATTGCAAGGAAGGACGACATCGTTTTGTATTTGCATTGACACCTGTGTAGATATTGAGCGGTCCTTTTATTGCTCTATATTTGTATCGATGTTGAGTGACGACGATATAATTATTGAGTGACATTGACGTAGATGTAGAGTGTCGGTATTTGCGTCGTCCTCTTTCTCCTCTCTCTTTACCTTACCTCTTGTCGCCACTCTCCCTCCTCCTCTCGTAAGAAGTCGTAAATGTCCTCAACATTCTTGTTGACTATTGCATCGTTCTCATCAAACACAACTATAACAATTATCTGTATCCCCCAATGGTTCTGTTATCCGTTATCATCGAAAACACAATTAGGATATTAAAATTTATTTTTTTGCTCATCATTTTCGTATCATTTATGTATGTTTTATCACTTGTATCTTTCGTCGATAAAATTGATGATGTTAGAGTAAATAGAATTAAATATTTTATTTTTATAATTATAGGATTCTAAGATAATTTTTTTTAGTTTGAAAAACAGGATGGTAAAGAAGTCTAAATAGATTGGGTAACATGTAATTAATCCATTTTTCTAATGGAAAATTATTTGGGTCCATCACGGCATCACCTTCCAATAAGACTTTAGCACTTACAATATGGAGAAAGAGAGAGAGAGAGAGAGAGAGAGAGAGAGAGAGAGAGATATTGCAGACGGACGGAGGAGACGACCATTCCTTCTACTCGGTTGACAACCTATTAACTATATCAACAACTACGAACTCGCCCATGGTATTTTAGTACTAGTAAGCAACCCATTCCCTGGTGCTTATTGTGTTGTCACGCTGCCATTGTCATGCGATATGCCCCCAAGACCATGTAGATAGATTGCAAATGAGGTCGAGATGAAAGACTTCGTAGAAGCTGAAAGCGAAACCATGAAGATTTTATCTTTGGACTGTGAATTCCTCGAACCATACAATCAAGAAAGGCTTCGACGACTCCATCATCATTTCATCCAACAATAACATGACTTCACAGGATGACGCAGGCGTTGGGGTTCTCCTCGACGCTCTGCACGCAGTATCGGGTGGTCATGCAAGGGTTGTACGCCTTGTAGGCGTCGACGAGCTCCTTGATCATCTTGTCACACTCTTTCTTCTTGTCCCCCTCGTCCTTCTTGGCCTCTACCTTCTTCGGCTCCTCCTTCTTCGGCTCTTCCTTGGGCCCGACCGAGACGATCGCGGTGGGCCAGCATTTCCTCAGTTTCTCTACGACGTTGATGGGATCGACGGCGCCGATCACCGTCATCTTCCTCTCCTTCATGTCCATCGCGATGGAGTCGATCCCTGAAAGAAAGAGTCACGCCTCCCTGATAAGCTCAGCAGCCGTTCGACAGAAACCAAGCGAAAGGAGGAGGAAGAGGAGGCGATACCTTGCAGCGCCGAGACGGCATTCATGGCCTTCTGCTTCTCCTTGTCGCCCTGTACGTCCACCTTCACCACAATTTTCTGAGACCCAAACACACAAACTATGAATTCCATAGTCAAAGCAGAGCAAAAGCGACAAATCTTTGAGGAGATCCCATGAGAACTTGCAGAACAAGAATGCGTGTCAGCGTGAGAGGATAAAGAGAGATGCTTCTTGTGCACAGCTCCCCTCCCATAGCTTTGGTCACAGGAACATAACTGAGCTGAGGAGGAAGGGGAGGGATCGAGAAGGCTTAAAGGAAAAGAACAAGTCCCACCTTCATCTCTTCAACAAAACAGCACAGGAAAAGATCACCAGCTAGCGAAGGAAACCAGCGGTGGGAGGTGGACAGGCTTCCTCCTGTGCCTTTAATAAGAGTTAGAGAGAGAGAGAGAGAGAGAGAGAGACTCCAACTGAGGTGATCTGAGTTGCTTTGGATTCTTCCTGTCATGCTGATTGCTGCTGCTGGTGGCTACCTACAAAAAGATTCTTATTCTAAAAGCCAACAATAATAATAATAATAATAATTATTATTATTATTTGAAGAAATCAACCAATTTAGTTGATAAAGATATTTACCCTTAATAGGAGATAAAATCTCATCTTCACCACTTAATCTTTATAAATATGTATATATATACATATATAAATATTTACATACATACATACATACATACATACATACATACATACATATATATATATATATATATATATATATATATATATATATATATATATATATATATATATATATATATATATATATACACACACAACTAAATTATCAATGATCATCATTAGTGATACCTCAGTATTGGAGGTATAGCCCATTGAAATAAAGGCCCAAATGAAGCCCACGGCCCAATTAGCAGAAAAGAATGACAAGCATAGCAGATTGGAAACAAGTGTCAGAGAAATATTGGAGTCTTCCACCATCAACCTAACTCTAAATGTCCCCTTATTATTCTTATTGATTTCAGAATCATGAAAGGCATCAAATCGAACTGCTACATCAAAGCAATCGCCATCGACTCCAAGCCAGCCTGTGTACATTTCGGCCTCTAAGATTCACAACGTATTGAACTGATGACGACGGAGATCAATACAATACAAGTTGGTGAGCATTTGACTTAGGCGAAACATAGCGTATTAAATGCTTCATCCGAACCACCACGGTCTCAGCCAACACAGCAATTATCTGACGAGCTAAACTATTTAAGTGATCTTGTTGTGCTATCAATGTCAGATCCGAATAGGTCAAGACACCATGTTTAGCATGATTTCATATCGGGTCATCGGGCTAAGTATTCAGCATGGATCCGATTCCATCAACAACACGATCATTGTTCGTAAAATTCAAGCAAAGCTTTATTGCGCCTTGCAAAATTGCATTATTTATGCCAAACAATTAGTAGCATTTTGATCTAGTTGTGCTAAATGATATGAATGCAGTTGAGACTATTGCAAACAAATGATTTCAGGTGGAAGGAGATGTTCTCATGATTTCTATGGATTACTCTAAGGCAAGCAGAGGTACAATTAAGTAAGCATATGGCTCAAACCAGAAGATTGTGTTGTTAAGACGACAAGAAATGAGAGTCCAACTTGCATCAACAAATGATCAATAAAGGGTTAGAAACATAAATATGGAAAATTAAACAAAGTCTTAGCATCTGTAAATCCTACATTTGTGAATATAATACAGTTGAAATTCTAAATAATAAGAGCACAAGCGATTAAAGACACCCTCAATATTTTGAATTATATGGGAACCCTGAATGTGCTATGTAGATATTGTTACCATGGAAGATGAGAAGTTAAAGATATGAAGAAGTGATTTAGAGGTGACTTATATATTTAAAGATTTAGTTCCTATGACTTCTACTAAAGAGAGAAATTATCTGATCGGACATCTGAAAAGAATGACTTTGCCAATGAGAAAAAGGTGAGGCACATAAGCAGAGCATAACTTCATGTAGTTGAACTTCTTCACAGGAAATTTGAAGCTGAGAAGGATAATGGTGGGTCAGAGAGGCATTTAACTAAGAAATGCATAACTCATGATAAATCTATTATTATAAAATTTATCGATATACTATCTGTTATGCGGAAAAACTTTCATGAATATAAAATCAAACAACAATGGATCTAAATAATATTACGATGCATATATTTTCATTGCTATTTAGAAACATAAACTTTATCTGATCTACAAGCATATCATTCTCAGATGTCAATCTGCAAGGAGAACTAGACTCACATTCTCTTCTCTTTCTCTATTATGTTGTTTCTAGAAGGTTATGTCGATTTATAGACGAGAGTAGATAATATAGGATAAGTAATTATGAGAGTTTCTCTAAGGACTTTTTCTAATGAATCTTACCTTAATTGAACTTTCTTTTTATTAACCAATAATCATAATCAGAATCCAATCTTATTCATAATATATTTTACTTAACTAGATAGGATCATATAATCTAACAAAATCTTCTTAAAAAGGCAATAAAATCTCTGGTATCAAAAACTGATTCAGAAAATCATCGAATCCGTAGTGTAATGATAGAAGCATTGCATTTGTCTATATTGCAAACCGGATTAAACTCAGAACCTGAAAGTAAAGAATCTAATGAGCATACCTTTATTGTCTGTGCGACAATCAAAGAAACTGCAGCTTGGTGAAGAAAGAGTCAGTAGCTGAGAACGCATAGTCATTTACTTCATGTGTCTTTTTCCTGAAGAAATCTGATCTTAGTATGTTTTAGCTAATAAGCAGGTAAAATTTCTTCAAATCTTGCATATTTCAAACACTTTTTTGGGCAAGGAACCATCGACATTTCGGCAAACATGAGCTAACAAAATTCTTGATCCACAACAAAATGGACATAAGAAGTCTTGAATCTTAGAGTTCATGTTGATGTGCATCAATAAGGCAGTGCAATAAATTTAAAAAATACCTACATTAATAATTATTGATGACCATATTAAGCATGTCAACCATAGACATCACTTCTTATGTTAAGGAAAGCAAACTTATCAGACTATCTACCTTTTAATACAAGGGCACAAATCTTCCAACAAACAAGATTAAGTTATAGGACAGTGTAGCCCATAAGACCCATATATGAAATAGTTTAGCCCATAAGTTTGGATGCCTGCTAAACAAGAGATGAACAATCAACAAGTAGCATACCGAATACAGAGGAGAAGAGGAAAGCTGCTGCAAAGCCAATGGCTAAACTATTTCCTCTGTTTCAGTTGATTGCATCAGATAACATGCCTACAAAGAGAAACATAGATGGTGATGGGTACAATACAACATATCTTGCTTGCTTAAAACTAGGATAAGAAGTAATAAAAGCAAAGTTCCAGCATGGTATTGCACAGAACAGCCCTGCATCAAAAAGGAAGATGATGGCCACCAGAAAATAGTGGCCACTGGGGAACTATGATCACATTTACTTTCATCTTTTCTTAAATATATTATGACAACCAAATTTGAGATACAAAGGGCATTTAGAACGCAAGGTTGATCCACCCAAGCATGAAACTCTATCACAATGACTAATTCCACTGCAACATTAAGAAACGATACTAGCAGCATTAAGTGAATAGGAAGCATTAGAGAACAAGTGCCAAGAAAATGTCATCCGCTAGTGTGAATACCAAGAAGAGGAGCTGCATCTTTTGTGAATTTACCCCCTTGTAAGGCCACTGAAGAAGATGTTCATAGAACTTGCCATGACAGTGGTGGCTGCGTATTCTTCAGGAGGATTTGAAGACAAGAAAGATCATACGATCCAAGAGTAGATTAACAGATGATATAGCAATTGAAAAGATTAAGAAGACGTAGAACCAAGAACTAAACCCAAGATCAGAAGAGAGAGAGAGAGAGAGAGAAGTCAAAGAACAAGGCTTACAACGGCCATGAGGGAAGCTCCGGAGAGTCCTCTAAGAATGGACCCTTAGTTCCCCGTCTCGCATCTGAAGCAGAAAGGAAGGTGAGAACAAACACAAAGAAGAAATATTTTCCATCATTTAACCGCAGGGGGCGAGATCGCCGAGAAGCTGCCCGCTGCAGCATCGACGGAGTGAGGCAAGGAAGAAACGTGGAGGGAAAAGGCGAAGAGCAGAGGGAGGCGATCGCCGGAGAGATGGGCAGCTTCCGACGAAATCGACGCCAATGGGCGGCTTGATTTGCCTCGCTGACAGAGAGAGGAAAGAGTGATGGGTGAGGAAGGGTTGGATTGGAGTTGAATGGAGTTCGCATCACGAATCTACTGCAGCCATCAGCCCTCCACACTTAGAAATTTTCCTGTTCTTGTAATTATCATTTCAGTCCCTTTAATCTTAATGTTTGTTTAATAAGGCTCAATCGTTAGAGGGAGGGAGAGAGCTTTGAATTCGAAGGTACTCCGTCGATACCTTAAGGGTTAAAATGCAAATGTGGCTACTTGAAGCTTCGAATATTGAGCCTTAATTTTCAGAAAACACCTTAACATTTTCTTTTATTTACATGGAGGACGGGACGGGGGACATTGGGGAAAGATCTGACGGAGCGGTATTAAGAAGCGGAGCCGAGATAGGGGCAGCGAAAAGGACGCAGAGAGAGAGAGAGAGAGAGATGCATCACGGAAGCGCAGGGCGATCGCCGTCGGAACGGAATCGGATGGCGGCGGAGCTTCCCTTAGTGGTGGGCCTCAACTGCCTCGAGGACCCGTCGTTCGAGGAGGAGGCCCTCGCCGGCACAGCAAGGGTGGAGCACGTCGGCCTCTCCGCCCTCGCCGATGGCCGGATCGAGTCCGCTGCCGCCGTCGTCCTCCACTCCCTTTCGCTCGTCCCCGGGCCCGCCCAGCGCCGCCTCCGTCCGTGGCAGCTCGTCCTCTGCCTTGGCTCCGCCGACCGCGCCGTCGACTCCGCCCTCGCCGCCGACCTTGGCCTCCGCCTCGTCCACGTTGACGCCAGCCGGGCCGAAGAGGTCGCTGACACCGTCATGGCCCTCTTCCTCAGCCTCCTCCGCCGGACCCACCTCCTGTCCCGCGATTCCTCCTCTTCGGCTTCCGCCGGGTGGTTCGGATCGATCCAGCCGCTGTGCCGGGGCATGCGAAGGTGCCGTGGCCTCGTTCTCGGGATCATCGGAAGGTCGGCCTCGGCCCGTTGCCTGGCAACCAGGAGCCTCGCCTTCAAGATGAGCGTGCTCTACTTCGATCTCCATCACGAGGTATTAGGGTCTCTGCCTCATATTTTCCATCAGCTGACGTTTTGTTTCCCAATGTGCCTTTTTCCTGTCGAGTTGTTACCTTTGACATTTTTCTTTGCTCAAGATTTAAGCTTTCTTTGTGCAATAGATAGAATTTGTACTCGTTTTGCAAAATTAGAGCTTATCACAGCAAGACGTAGGGGGTATAGTTAAGCGAGTTTGTTCATCATGAGTTGATAGGATTTTTCACCAATCTGAGTTGGTCTGATATTTAATTTTTGCCGGTGTTGCTGTTCAGCTTAAGAGTTCAGTTATTCATCCATATTTCAGGTTTACAGCCTCTCTTCTTTTGTTGGGGTTATGGTTTAGTAGAAAATTTGGTTCATCTGGTCTGCACCTTCTAGGAGAAACTAAAGGATAAAAAGCATCTGAAAGTTTAGATTATGAAACACATAATAAACAACATGTTAAAGGTGCAGGGCTATCTAATTAATCCAGGGACATGATTTCTTGGTTCACTGTCTATTGATAGCCATGATTGTGCCTCATTTTAAGTTTATAGTGATCATTTCTTCTATGAACTTAATTACACTTTTACAAGCTTTAACTCTTCTTATACTTTATATTGTTACAATTTCCAAAGGGCATCTAATTATCCTGAGACAACATATTCCCTGCATTCTGTAGTAAATTAGCTGGAGATATGTCAAATCTCTTATTCAGAGTTCAAGACTAACTTGAACCTCACTGACTACTTCATGCTGCAATTTCATTTCATGTATGTATCTCTGAGGAGGACATTTAGGGGCATGAGATTTAGATTTATGTCGTTTGTGGAAGTGAAGTACAAATTTATGTATCATGACCCGCCGAGTATAACAGAAAAACCGAGAAAGTTTGTGAGCTTTGATGATACTTTTTGACAACCGCATATGACATTGAGCTTGTGTGGCAGAAACTTTTCTTCTTCTGAAAAGTGTTGTGATGCAAGTCCTTGTTAGTTTTCTTCTATCAAGCTGCTGAGAACTGCTGGAATGTTCTGTATATGAACGTAGTTCATTAGTATTGAGCTTCATTTATTTGAAATCTCAATTTGATTTGTGACTGTTGTATTTGAACAAATGATTTAAGGGGAAAGAAAAATCAGGACGACCTGTTATTGCATTTCCTCCTGCTGCTCGACGAATGGACACCCTCAATGATTTACTGGCATTAAGCGATCTAGTTTCGCTTCACTGTTCACTGTCAGATGCTACCTTGCATATTCTTAATTCAGAACGGTTGCAACATATAAAGCCAGGTAACATGTCATCTTTTCTTTTTGGTTATTGACTTTTCAGGGCATTAGTGTATTTCTTCCTTTCTGTTGTGATCTGAAAATTTTGTTTCCATTTGAAAAATATTTTCTAAATTTTTATTCCTAATAATTGAGTCTTTTTTGTTGCTTTTTTTTGGTTGTTTGCATTTGGAGTTATTAGTGTACCTCTTCCTTTGCAGTTGATCTGAATAAAATTGTTTCCTACTGACAGATTTTTTTCTAGAATTTTATTAATAATTGAATTCTTTATCCACAGGAGCATTTATAGTGAATTCAGGTAGCACTCAATTAATCGATGATTGTGCACTGAAGCAGCTCTTGATCGATGGTACTATAGCTGGTTGTGCATTGGATGGTGCTGAGGGGCCCCAATGGATGGAAGCATGGGTATGAGCATTAGACTTAGGGTATGAGTTGTTTCTTATGTACATGATCTATTTAGATCTGATGATCCCTATCAATAAAAAACACTTAAAGCGTCATCTGATAATGAGCATTGATGTCTAAGTTATGCCAGAAATTTGTTTTTTTCATTCTTTTGGGTGCTTACCTGATGCTTTTTCATGGTGTTTCCTTTTGACTATGACATATGTAGCAACAGAAACAGAACCTTGGCAAAACTGATCTAGCGAGGTTCATTACTTATTTCTTAACATGCTGATAAGCTATCTGAGTAGAAATCCAGGTTTTGGTCCAGGAATGTTTCAAACAGGTTAGAGTTGGTCAATTTATTCAAAAATTACATAAAGTTGGTTGTTCTTATTTTTGTGGAATTTTTGTTATTAGAAACAAAGAAAAAAATAGCAAAGTCTTGTTTGATTCACAAGGCCCACGTGAACTGAGAGGTGACAGGATCCACAGTTTCCAATGCAAAGTGTTGAACATACTGCTGTGTCCAGTGTGGCCAGTGTGTCTGGTGGTTACCTTTTTACTAGCTTTTCATGGGTATGCAGAAAGAATTTAGTTCTAAAACAGCTTGTTGAATATTTACTGAGATAGTTAATGTGCAGTATTGCACTCTTATCTAAATATTGATGGAAAATTAATTTGGTGAATTAGCATCTGATTGCTAGATATATGAACAATACTTCTATTATATCCATAAATGTTTATGAGTAATGATATGAAGAAATACATAAAATTTGATGATGGTAATAACAAGGTGAGTAGTTCGTCTTCTTTATGTGCACTTATTGCTACATGTAAATAAGCAATTGTCACCCAAAGCTTCTTTGCAGTATTTTGTTATTATTATATACTGAATTATAATTTCTGTTGAATTAGCCCCTTTTTTTTTTCAAGGCTTGAGCAGTTTGCTTTGCTTCTGCTGTGTACCTCTTTTCCCTGTTTGCATGCTTCAATTTCATTTCAAATTTCAACAAATTGATTTTCATTTTTCAGTTGTCTGATGTTTTTATTTTAATCTGATTTCAGGTTAGGGAGATGCCAAATGTGTTAATTCTTCCTCGCAGTGCAGATTATAGTGAAGAAGTGTGGATGGAAATAAGAGAAAAAGCAATAACAATACTACAGTCTTTTTTCCTTGATGGAATTGTACCAGATTATGCTGTTTCTGATGAGGATGAAACAATAAATGAAAGTGCATATGAAGATGAGCAGGCAAAAAAGCAAGTAAAGGAACCTCAGCAGGTTCAGGATGTCGACCAGCTGACAGGTGAAAGCCACTTAACTTCGGGATACATGAATCAAAAGGTTAGCCATCACTTGAAAGAATCTCAAGTTTCAGGTGAATCCAAAAATACTGGCTCTAGAACTGAAGGAAGGCACAGTGGATCAGGCAAAAAGGGTAAGAAGAGACCTGCTCGCCGTAGATCTCAGCAGAATTCAGATGATTCTTCAGCTGCAGATAGTGCTAGTGGTTATACCTCAGGTCAAGATGATGATACTGCAATAAGTGGTAGAGATAAAATATTAAGTTCCAATTCTAGGTTTGCTTCTTCTGAGGATCCTAGAAACAAACAAATGTGCATCTTCGAACAAATATCGGACTTGTCGTCAGGGAAGCAGGTGGCAGTAAGCACAGATGATGGTGAACTGCTGAAAAATGGTTTCGTTGTAGCCCTGCGGGCAATAGATCGTCCAGGATATCATGTGTCCAGGCAAAGAATTCCTGGAGGTGGTTGGTTCCTTGATACTGTGTCAAACGTATCAAAAAGGGATCCTGCTGCACAATTCCTTGTTTCTTTTAAAAGCAAGGTACTGATGTGTAATGTCTCCTGCAATTATTTTAATACATTTCTTTCTCCACTTTCTCCTTGCTGAATGAAGTATGACTTCATCTCTCTTACTGGCTGTTATTTTCTCTAGGACACACTTGGACTGCAGTCTTTTGCTGCTGGTGGAAAACTCTTACAGGTTATAATGCATGTTGCTTCAGCGAATTACTTGTAATACTTCATTGTTTGTTGTCAGAAGTCTAAAAAGGATGGCCAGTTTCTGCAGTCACTAAAGACATGCAGTTTATGCTCAATAAAATAATCGACTCTCAAGAGAAAGTTGATGTTTATATTGCTTTCTTTCACTTCCTTTGTACATTGTACTTTGCTCTTACATCTGCAATGCTACTTGGCAATTAGGATTTACTTTTAGTTCCCTGCACAAAATGAGTTTCACTCTTGATATCAGATCCCTGCTGGAATAAATCTTCCTTTTCGTAGGGTCAGAATATATTGTATTATTCAGGTCACATCCCATTTCCAAATTGTTCAAGTAACACATGACGTCTCAAGAATTATTTAGCATCTTAAGTCATTTTATTAATTTGATTTTTGTTCGAAGCCAAATAAAAATGTCATAGCAAATAACTGCATGCTTTTTAGTGGTTTGGACCAGAACTAGTCCAATCAGTTTAGGATGGTATATATTTTTACTTGATGTTGAACAGAAACAGGTTGTGTCTTGTGGGAATTCTATCTTCTACTGTATCAAAATTTTATAAACTGTTGGTCAGTGTGAATTTTTGAATTTTTCATAGGTGACGCTGATTGAGCCGAATCTTTATGTTAGTATGCTTTCTATTAGTCTGTTATTTCTAGTTTTGGTTGTTGATTCATTATAATATGAAAATCAACTCTCTAAAGCCCCTATAAGATAAAGCTATGATTTCAGCCAGAAGTATGTATAGTCATGCTTATTGGTATTCTAACTCGTTTGTATTTTCTGTGGTACCAGATCAACAGAAAAATGGAGTTTGTGTTTGCAAATCATAGTTTTGATGTGTGTGGCAGTTGGACACTGCAAGGATCTGTCTTGGAACAATGTAAATTAGTTAACTGCAAAAATCCATTGGTATGTACATAATGCTGAATATTTTACTTGTGCGAATTTTTGTTCTTGTATTTGATATTTCCTTAATTACACTTCTTTCACTGGTATGACATGTAGGCTGTCTTGGAGGTAAGCATAGAAATCCTTGCAGCTGTGGCTGAAGATGGCATTAGTCGATGGCTCGATTAAAGTTGTTTGTGGGAAAGATGATTGTAATGAAGCACGTCAACCTCATCTTTGGTTTGTTTTTCTTTTACCGACCTTGTAATGCATCCAATTTTGATTACTGTTGTGCAATGTACTTGACATGCACCAGTTTTTACTGAATGAAGTTGTTCTTGTTGAATCCATCTCTAATCTTCTTACTGCCTAGAGTTTGCAGCTCTGCATTTACTGTAGGTAGGGAAGATTTATTGTTCCTAGGTAAGGTCTGGCTCGTACAATCCGCCCATGCATCGTCAAAAACATTGAATTGCTAAGACAATGATGCAAGTTCGACATGGGACACGATGTGGTAAGTCATGCTAGGTCCTCGATCTCTTTTTTTTTTTTTGGTAAAGGATAAATGACCAATGTGGATTTGGAGCATAGGTTTTTGTGATAAACTATTAAGATCTTTATCATTTAAACTCAGCTGATACCTTCAAAATATATCAAATAAAATTTTAAATCCTTAACTTTTATTATGTATGGAGATATTATTTGCTCTTCTTATGTCATTTGATACAATGGATTGAATGACTTTGTTCATCTCAATTTGAATGGATAATTGATGTTTGATCCCTAGGAAAATATAAGGAGCAGAACAATATAAGGAGAGCTTATCAATAGTAAGGATGTTGATAACATCCTATATATATATATATATATATATATATATATATATATATATATATA